GGTTTGTTTATCTTAAAATTCGTAGTTTTTTGTAAATATTCGTAGTGGGATGCAAAGTTACGTTGTTTGAGGATTTTTTGTTTTTTAAAGAAACAACGTCACTCTACGTCCTATTATGAATATCTATGAAAAACTAAGAATTTCTAAAATCTTATCTCAATCTATGTAGTTTTTTTGCAAAAATTTTTCCGCCAGGGAGAATATTAGCAAATAAGTCTCCACGCGGGAACCAAAGACTTAGCGTCCAAATAGCGTTTTCTTATTGTGTTATTGGTATATAATAGTATTATAGTATCCTAATTTATATTTTTATCTCTCCGACTCAGAGAAAGTAGATAGTATTCGAATTTTGTATGGTACTCGTCTACATTCTTCTCGTATTTTAATTTGTTTATTTAATATCACATAAATCTCGCGAGAATTTAAACGATTCTTCAGTATTTATGACTGATGACAAATAAATGACAAATGAGGAATAATCTTTATTGTTCATGTATCTATATTTGAGGTACATGGAATTTATGGACGATTTGGTTCTTGTATAAAACGAACTTCACGTAACACAGTAGCGCCTGAAAAGCTTAGAAAGTGCTTTCTATGCGCTGCTACGTACGTTTTAGTTTAAAAACATGTATTTTGGAGCGAAAGGAAAAAAATGCGTATGGTAAAATAAGTATAGGCAGACGAATTATATCCATCGCTGAAGAATTACATAAATATCATTATTAATTAGATGTAATTTTAAAAAAAATTACATACGATAAATTCTTAAAGTATACGGTATACTCTTTACCGGATGCGAAGGCAATGAAAGAGAAAAAAGAAACTTTCGATATGTGTAGGTATATCATGATTTTTCGTAAAGTTACGGATTGTAAATATGATTAGAATGCATTTTTGTATAAATTGTGGAAACATTGTTAACGTTTATACTTAAAGGTTTGTACTAAATTCCACTAGATATATTTTGGTATCTATAAGATACACTTGTACATTCCCACTTGTCTGTTTTATGCTTCCATTTGTTTTCATATGTTTATTTAAAGTGGTTAAAACAGATTAAGGTACATATAGTGTACCTTCCAACAAGCGACACAAATGACACGGTGTGACACAATGATTCATTACATCCTTGTTGTTTGCCAATGTCAAAGATGACATGATCACTGTGTCGCACTGTGTCACTTGTTGGAAGGCACACATGATAGGAAAAAAAAATGCTTTAATTCTAAATATTTAAGAGAAGTTTTAACATTTTTTTCGGATGATTTTTCGAATGTATATTTCCTCTAAAGTATAAAATGTACTTTAATTTCAGTTGTTGACGTCATTCAAAATCGAGATAATTATTCATAACAGATAAGAAAAATAATATTTTAATCGACAGATAATATATTAAGCACATTATATTCACACTGTGCTGCAATGTACATACATATGTTTTCACCTACTATTAGTTATGATTGCGATATTGCGAAAATGATCGGCAATCTTGTCGACATTAAATTTTAATCCTTGGGCATTTCTTAAATAATCTATTGCACTTTTAATTGCAATACGTCTCTATTCTCTATATATATTTATAATATGGATGAAATGTCACATTCAACATTAAGAAATTACAATATCTTCTTTTACATTATTTTCCAAATAGCGATTGTGTTCAGTTTAACATAGCTTACATTTTTTGCTAATAACTTATCAGCAGCATTTTAATGCGATAATAATCGACCAAGGAAACCTAATTCTTGGCAAAACAAGCATTATATAAATTGTGCTTGTATTTTTCTTCCAAGAATGATTTCTAAGATTCAGTATACTTATTGGCAGGTGTTTTTTAATATTCTACAAAATGAATGCGTGTTATAGAATTATAAATGCTTGTTTGCGACCACAAACTAGCTATCACATACGTAACAACCATGATTATCCAATCGTTTGCGCAATTTCCACATTATAATACCGTTTATATTCTGCATCAAATATCAATTTTCTTATGAATAACAACGATTACATGATAAGTAGCACAATCCAAATAACGTCAAAGTTGTCTTCGTTTAATGAAAGTTATATATCGCATTGATTTTCAACAACTTCCTATAATTTTTAAATGGATAGAAGTACTCAAATAGGAAATTTACTTAAGGAAATTGTAAGGCAAATGCAATATGTTAAGAATTACTTGAAAAAATTACAGATTATTCTAAATTGCATTTAAAAGTAATACAAAAAAATTAGAGACAGTTGACCATCTGGAT